CGGTCACCGGTGACCGCTTGGTGTTTGACAGTTTAAAACATGCGAATTAAGGAAAAATAGAAATGCTTTGACTTTTATTACTTATAAATATTCTGTCCTGTGAAAATAATATATATATGACATTCTTTTTATTTTTAATATATATAATAAATAAAATATGTAAACAATCTTTGTACCAAATCAAAGAAGACATCATCAGATCAACAATCAAAAACATCAGAACAAACATATAGATCCACATTCAAGGTATTTAGACACATTTTTAAAAGCTCTGTATTTTTTCCACACAACATAATAAATAATATATAAAAATAAATAGTAATATTATATACATATAAGTTGATCAACAAACTAACGATAATGAACATTAGCTATTCTTTTTCAAACAAATAAACATTTTGAAACAAACACCTAGCGTCCTTAACGATCCCATGATGGAGAATTCAACCCAACACAACGCTGTTCTCTTCCCTTTACCCTCTTAAGAAACACCAATACGAGCATGCATAGATAGCTCGCAGCCCGACCAGAACCAGACTCGAGCGTACAGTGTGTAGCGTTCCGCGCGGACCTCAAAGAATCATCAGACCACCACGCGGACGTAAAAGGTTACCGGGGCTCCGGCTCGAAGTGCAGGAGTTCGAACAAGGAGGTTTTTAGTCAGTAATTCTGACACTCCCTCGCGGCCACCCAGACGGGAGAAGCCATTCGATAATTTTCCCTCCTTAAAAAACCCTCAAAAAACACAAATTCAAATGGCCGGTTATTGACAGACTTCAAAAAAAAGGAGGACCGCAATTTGACTTCTATGTACCTATGTATGTTTGTGAGAGATAATCTCGTGCTTGACTGTATCGATGTTGATACGGTTTTCAGAAAAGTGTTTGTTAGACTTAGAAAAAAAGTTTATACATATTAATTAATTAACTTTAAAAATGAGGGGGTTGAAATTTTTAAAGTAGTTTATAAAAGAATTATTTAAGTAATGACAGAAAACGTTGCCCAAGGGCCTGTGGTGTAATTACAGGGTGGTAAATAGGCAAAATGCCACAGACCCCCAGGCGAACTGAGCCTTCGTCCAGAGGGTCGTATCTTAACTTTTCTGTTTTAATTGGCAAAGAGTGTCCACCCGATGAATTTGTCACGATCCTTGAACAGTATAGTTCCGCCACTGCCAAGAGCAGCACTGATTATTTACATCCAGAGGACCTCTGCTATGTGTTGCCTCCTTCATGATCATCAACAGCCGAAAGACGTCAACTGCCGGACAAAGGCCTGCCCCTTAAAACAGTTATTATTCACGGAACAATCACAAAGTTTAATTACAAATATCTGTAATAAATTCTCTCATCTTTAGTATTGTTACTGCCATTGTTGTTTTGTTTAAAATCATCATCATCAACAGCCGGAAGACGTCCACTGCTGGACAAAGGCCTCCCCCTTAGCCCTCCACGTCGAACGACAACTCGCCACCCGCATCCACTGGCTCCCCGCAACTCTGGCGATGTCGTCGGTCCACCTAGCGGGAGGTCTGCCCACGCTTCGTCTTCCGGTCCGTGGTCTCCACTCAAGGACTTTCCTGGCCCATCTGCCGTCAGTCCTTCGAGCGACGTGGCCTGCCCATTGCCACTTCAGTCTGCAGATTTTGCGAGCTATGTCGGTAACTCTTGTTCTTTGGCGAATCTCCATATTTCGGACTTTGTCGCGCAAAGAAACCCCGAGCATAGCTCTCTCCATCGCACGCTGAGCGACTTTGAGCTTCTCCAGAAGGCCAGAGGTCAGGGACCACGTCTCGGTACCATACGTCATCACCGGCAACACACACTGGTTGAACATCCTGGTCTTTAGGCACTGAGGGATTTTCGATGAGAAGATTTCGCGTAACTTCCCGAACGCTGCCCATCCAAGTTGGATTCTTCGGGCGACCTCTTTGTCGAAATTGGACCTACCTAGCTGTATAATCTGCCCTAAGTATGTGTAGTGGTCTACAACTTCGAGGATATCGTTCCCAACGATGACCGGTACAGGTGCAACATGGACGTTTGACATGATTTTGGTCTTGTCCATGTTCATTTTAAGACCCACCTGTTGGGAGACGATATCGAGGTCGCTGAGCATGGTGTTTAAATCCTCCAGCGACTCCGCCATGATGACTACATCATCGGCGAAGCGGAGGTGTGTGATGTATTCGCCATTGATATTGATGCCCAGTCCACTCCAGTTTAAAAGCTTGAAAACGTCCTCCAATGCGTTGGTGAACAGTTTCGGAGAAATCACGTCTCCCTGTCTCACGCCTTTCTGCAATTGGATTGGTTCCGTGCTATCTTCCTGGAGTCGGATGCGCATGGTGGCGTTTCTATACAAACACTTTAGCACCTCGATATATCTGTAGTCGATATGGCATCGCTGGAGAGACTGCAGCACCGCCCAGGTCTCGATCGAATCAAAGGCTTTTTCATAGTCCACAAACGCCAAGCATAGTGGCAATTATACTCCTCAGTCTTCTGTATAACTTGCCGCAGCGTATGAATGTGGTCTATGGTGCTAAAGCCTTTCCGGAACCCGGCTTGTTCGGGAGGCTGGAAGTCATCAAACCTGCGTTCCAGACGGTTCGTGATAACCCTAGAAAACAGCTTATATACATGGCTCAGAAGCGAGATGGGTCTATAGTTCTTCAACAAAGAGTTGTCACCCTTCTTGAAGAACAGAACCACTACACTCCTTTGCTTTCGGCGTAGTTCCTTCGAGAATGACGGAATTGAATAGTTTCTGGAGGACTAAAAGTATCGGTTTTCCACCCGCTCGCAGAAGTTCTGTTGTGATTCCGTCATCACCCGGTGCCTTGTTATTTTTGAGCTGTCTGAGAGCCATCCTAATCTCATACAGGCTGATGTCTGGGATATCCTCGGTATAGTGCCGTGTCAGTTTAGCTCTAGGATCCCGAGCTGTACCGACAATGGGTTGCCGTGTCGAGGTGTATAACTGTCCGTAGAACCTTTCAAGCTCTCTCAGAATCTCTGGCTTCGACGAAACGATGCTGCCATTTTCGGTCTTCAGTTTCGTCATTTGGCTTTGCCCAACAGACGAATTCCTTGCGAATACTTTTGCGCCCTGATTTCGCTCTATGGCATCCCTGACTCGTGCGGCGTTATATGCACGCAGGTCGCGTCGCATAGACTTTGAAATTCGCCTATTAAGTTTGCCATATCCAGACATGTCAACTGAAGACTGCAGCCTCATCTCGTGTCGGTCTTTCAATAGTTTAAGTGTTTCTTTCGAGAGCTTTTGAGGTCTATTTCGGCGTGGGTTTTTGAAAAACTCTGAGCCCACCGTTTGGACAGTTTCCACTAACCCATTATTTAACTCGTCAATCGTTTCACACTCAGCCAGGCACTGGAAGCGATTATGCAGTTGGAGCTGGAACTGTTCGGGGTTCTGGACCTGGGCGCGACCAGGACGGAGTGTGGACCTCACCAGGCGTGACCTCTCCAGCTTGACATTGATATTCAGTGTGCCTCTGACAATACGGTGATCGCTGCCGGTTTTCACCTTAGCTATCACAGAGACATCACTGAATATGCGCTTGTCGGTCGCCATGATGAAGTCGATCTCATTTTTGGTGTAACCATCGGGACTTATCCACGTCCACCTCTTAGCTGGTCGCTTTCGGAAGAAGGAGTTCATTAAAAAGAGTCTCTCCCTCTCCATAAAGTCGACCAGCCGCTGGCCCCGACGGTTTCGCTGCCCATATCCAAATGGCCCCATTCTCAGCTCTTCGCCGTTCCGTGTGCCCACCTTCGCGTTGAAATCCCCCATGACAACGGTGAAGTGTGCTTCGGAGGTGTGTATGGCTTGGGAAATTTCCTCATACAGAGCCTCTACTTCATCATCGCAGTGTGTCGAGGTCGGCGCATATACCTGTATGACCTTCAGCGAATACCGGTGATATTCTGAGTATAAGGTACGCTACCCTGCTCGACACACTGTCAACTTTACTCACGTTGTTGACGAGGGACTTGCGGACGAGAAATCCGACACCACCCTGGGATTTTTGATCTCCTTCCCGGAAGAAGAGCAAGTTGCCGGAATCCAGGACCATCGTATCCTGGCCCTCTCTTCGGATTTCAGACAGTCCCAAGATGTCCCACCGCATTTTGCTCAATTCTTCCTCCAGCTCGACAATCTTCTCATCGGTCCGCAGGGTGCGGATGTTATGTGTTGCCAGGGCCAAAGTTCGTCGGGGGTGGTAGCGGTTCATCTGCCGGGGATTCTTAGCACCCCCTGCTCCGCCGTTACCCGATCCGCTACCAAGATCAGGAATAGCGGAGCTGCCGGGGACTGGGGGCCGTGTATTTAGGTTGTCGTTCATAGTGAGGGGGGGGGGGTTTGCCATAATCCCCACGCTTGGCAGGCGGCTTGGGGATCGCAGTTAGGTCACCGATATATTTATGGAATGCTGCAGCCCATTCCTCGGTGTCTGGTCGCAGTTTTAGGACGTACCCGGGTCCAAATTGTTTAAAATAAATAATTATAAATAATACATGCTACACACCTTACAATTGAACTGTACATTGTGTAGCGTGCATAAACCAAAATCAATGTGAAATGTTTAAATTAGATTTTTATTTATTCAAATAGATTTTTTCTTAAAATTTATTTCATTATTTACACACCAGCTGTTTGCCCGCGACTTCCGTCAGCAAAGAATATGAATTTTAGGACATAACTTTTATTACGACGCAATTTTTCAAAATAAAAGTAGTCTATGTTACTCCTACAGTACTAACTAGTACATTAGCTATCTGCTAATAAAAATATGTACCGTGAAAACGGTCCAGCCATTCCAGAGATTAGTAGACAGTACAAACAGACATTCAGACAAAAATTCTAAAAAATGTTATTTTTCTTTTTATAATTATATGAAATGTATAACGCCTTGGTTTTATGACTGTAATGTTATACTATTTAATTGAAATAAATAAATAAATAATAAAAATGCATGTATTATAAAGTGGTTGTTTTAACTACAAACAGACACTTCAATTGTATTTATCTCTATAGATACCTAATTCGGAGTTTTATGTGACATTCCTTTGATAATAAAACATGGAAACAGACCGCACACAGCCGAAATGACAAGGTTCCAATCTCCCCTAACGGTTGGTTTACAAACGTTTCACACTTTTGATCAAAGAATAATGATTTATACATTACCGTAAAACGGTCTGAATAGAATTCAAAGGATGAATAGGTCACGAATGGGGTGAATAGAGGTTACAATAATTTCCTAACATTTATTCACATTCACCCCTCTTCCGTATATACTCACTGTGTTTAACCATTATTCAATTTCCTTTGACGATTAACTCTACTATCTATTGAATTACATTCTTACCTTCAAAGAACAACACCAGAAGTAATTTGAATGTGTCAGTATATTTATTGTAGTATAAAAAATAAAAATACATGACTAGGTTTCTGATTCCAAACTAGCAACGGCCATTTCGAATGCACCGTTTCGTGTAGTGTTGCCACCAATAAATCCAGTACTGTGGCAAAATACACAGTTCGCTATTCCTGCTACTTCACTCAGCACTTCGTCTCTCACACCCCACCATTTTGGGTGCAAAGGTTTTCTGTAAATTATAAAATTCATATTACAATAAGGTTCCCGAGTTATGAAGGGTGTGATGTGAAGTTAGCCACAAAGAAAATGGTTAATCAATAAAACGATTGTGTTTAATTAGAGTCAATCCCTAGCATACCTCTGTCCCGCACACATTCCCATTCCCGGATAGGGCATAGTATTACTGGGTTTTTAATTTTCACTAGTAGCACGGTGGAATTGTGCCCGGTATATGGCAATAGGCTTACCCCCTATTACATGGGGCTCATAACATAAATAGTGAAAAGTGGGTGTTACATTGTACAGTGGTATAATGTTCACCTCTGTCTACCCTTTCGGGGATAAAAGGCGTGATGTTATGTCACGTAAACATACTAAAACATTAATAAAAAGTGAAACTTATAGTCATACCATATGACGAAAATTTTAAAACTCAAACATTAATAAACTACAACATTTCTTCAATCACAGAGTCCAATCAGAGACCTAGTCTTTGGTAGATCATAAGTACCACTTGACCAACAACTCATTATGATATTAAGATATAATTTTAAAATACAATAAATACTATACATCCATACATGGCTCCCATTTTTAGAAGAGAAACTAGTCACAATAATGTGTGATAATTAATAAAAAAATTACAGAAATAAAAATTGAACTAACCTGGTAACAAAGCTAGTAGGATTGACAGGTACTGCTTGCACTCTCCAAGAGTTCGGTTTATCATTAAAAATAACATATTTAATTTCATGTCCAATATTCATTTCTTCTTCTAAATCAAATAAATGTTCTTTCCAAGGGAATCTTTCGGTAAACTCAACAATCTGTCCTGATTTATGTATTTCAAACCTGTTGTCTAATGCCTCCCTGACGTAAACTCTGGCGGGAAGCCAAACTTTCATGAAGTAGTTCACAGTATGCAGAAACTCTTCACTGACTAACACCATCGCTTTTTCAAATATTTCATCCATATTGACAACTGATTTAGAATTCCATTCAGGATTCAACCGTGCTACCCTACTGCTCAAATGAGTTCGTATTTTATATCTTGGTTCCTCAGAAGCTATTGGAACTCCATTATCTATAGCATCAATTTCTTCAATGAAATTTTGATAAACCTTCTTGTATATTACTTCAAGGTCTTTTGCAGCTAAGGGTAAATCACTTGGCACAAGTTGCTTGATGACGTCTTCACCATAATAGGTGTACACCAGTCCTGCTGAACTTAATCTGTAATGAAGTTTTAAGTTACAAATCCACGTTTGGATAGAATTTCTGATTTATGTACTACAATAACTGCAAAATTTTTAAGATGATTCGACAGTTGGAAAGCTAATTGACCTAGCTAAGACATTTGTGATATTGATATCTACCAACATCAGAACGAAAGAAAACTGCCTCATTGGCCAAGTGGTCGCAAGTGCGACTGCATGGCAAGGGGTCTCGGGTTCGATTGCCAGGTCGGGTAAAGTATTACTAGGTTTTTTGAAAATCCCAGTAGTAGCACAGAGTCTGGAATAGTGCCCGGTGTATGGCAATAGGCTCACCCTCTATTACATGAGACTCATAACATAAATAGTGAAAAGTTGGTGTTACATTGTACAGTGGCATTAAGTGCCGTAATATGCACCTCTGCCTACCCCTTCGGGGAAGAAAGGTGTGATGATATGTTATGTTATGTAGAACGGAGAAATAGTAGTTGATTTTTAACATGTATTAATTATTAACTCAATATTACAAGAAATGCCACTTAGGTCCCCCTTTCATCAGTTAAATATATAGTTTGTAATAACGCCACATATAGTTTGTAATAATCCACAACATCAACAGCCCGAGGCATTTCACAACTGGACCACAGACACAATACTTAAACTGTCAAACAAGTACACCGTCAAGCGAGGACACCTGTGACTGCAACCTATTGTTCTTTCATTGTGTCTATAATGACGGTACTCAAAGGGTTAAGTAAAACTTAAAATTGAGGAGCCTTTCATTATTCCGGCATCAGTTGGCTCTAACAACACCCACAACAAGATTAACCGTGGTATGCCGGAATGTAGATCTACGCGAGACACATTGTATTTTCTATTGTATTTCATATTTCATATTCAAGAGGTTAAGAGTGGTGGCCTAACATACACAAAATAAAGTACTCACTTGATATTATACTTGTCACCAAGTTCTGGTCTCAAGGAGCTAAGAGTTTCATTGAACTCTCTTTGGTGATGATCATAACGCTTCTTAGCATGGTCAAAGACAGCCCCAACGTCCACTACGATGTCACAATCATTAAGTTTCGCCATATCTCGTGTCCGGACAATATCTGCATCTTTATACTGCGGTAGAAGCTTGAGCATGTAGCATGCGAGTACTTCATCACAGTGGAAGACGCCATCATGAGTCCCGATCTTAAAAAATAAATATGGTTTTAGTAAGAGGCACACTTGTTTAAACTTACTGTTCACAGTTATAGTTTGTATTGGTGTTATTTCTATCGATTCCCGACAAATATAACTTGGGTGTCTTCAAGTCCCGAGTGAACAGGTTGCTCATAGGTAGGCGTGCTCCATCATCGCTAATCACCAGGGGAGATGGTGGCCCAACTAGTAGGTAAGTTGACGTATTTTTCATACGAAAAGAATTAATTTGACGAATAGCAACTAAAGGCCGAAATTAATGTGACCTCAATCCTAAACAGATTGGAAGACGGAACAGCTACCTCGCTACTGTATATACATACTATTAATACCAATTGAATTTATTGTACAAAATGCTTGGAATATAACCACTGTTTATTCATCCACTAGTTCCACTACCTATAGGTTATAATTAAATCTAATAAAGTAAAAATAATATTTCTAACCTTCATAGTTCTAGATTGCGCGACGAGATGCCTATTTACAAAGCTGTGCGAAGAATTATTGTAAACTATGCTACTAATTGTACACAAAACTTTTCTAAACATTTACTCCTCTATATGTTTGAATAACACGTGTACTTACAATTTTTTAGTCACAAAATACACGATCCGTGGCTTGACGCTTTCTTGCTATTTTGTTTCACTCTTTCACTGTCAGTCTGTTATCTATGCTACTGTCATGCCTGCAACCACAGAGTATACAAATAGTATGTTTTCTATTAACTATTTCGTGTATTACACCTATATGATACCTATAAAAAACTAATATTATTAATATAAATTTATATAACGAAAAACTAAAATATTTACTTTAAAAAAATAACAATAAAAATTTCAGCATCAAAAAAATTTCGTGTTTATTTCGAGATGTGTTCATTTAGATATTTAAATAAATTAATCACTTTTTACACTAAAACTAATTTAAAAATATACACTAACTATAAGATAAAAATTAATTAAAAGAAAACTAAAAATAACTGTTACTTAGTAAAATATTTATTATATGGATATTCTGTATGGATGTTCTATTATGTTGTTGATACTGTTAAGTCTAACTTTTCTAAGAATAAAACAATATAATAACAAAGTTAGTCGAATAGTTTACTATAATAGAATGATAATGTACGCATCACTAGTTTTAAGTTTCCTTGATTGATTTGAAGATGTCGCTATTGTAACAATTTCCGTTCCGACAAGTTTGAATTATGTTAACCACAGATGGCAGCAGTAGTTGATTAGTAAATATGTAATGAAAAAAAGTAAAGTTGTGAAATTTTGTTTATTCAAACATTTTTTAACGAAAATTATTGATGCAAAATTATTTTATAGTATTTTATTACATATTTACACTAATTCTCTGTTCTGTTCTGACACTGAGACTAAACCCTACAACTAAACATTATGAAAATTTTGAGATTTGTCTTATTAATTTAATTTGCAATTTGTAACAATAGCATACCGTTTCTGTTATTTTAACTGACTGATAAGTAATATAACTAACTTGTCATATAAAATGTGTTAAATTTTAGTGAGTTTTGCTAAAAGAAACTTAATCAATGATCGGTAGATGAAACCGACTCCTATATTATGTACTGATAGTACACACAGTAGCAATGAAACGGAGCTACTAATATATTTTCCTATTCTTTTCTTAATAAGTATTTTGTGATACAGGTATTTTATTAACGTATTGCATGTAAAAGGGTAAATGCCTAATTTTAATTTTAATGTCCGTCTGGTAGATTATTTTAAATCATTAGACACGTATTTTTTAATTAACTTATACTTTCGACGATATATTGATTTGAAATGTTGCGTAAAGTCACTTCTATGTACATTTTATACGTAGAAATGAAGTTTTAGCCCCCACTCCGAAACTTTGATTCAATTTATTAAGGTATTGTTTTATTATACGACAAAATAAGAATACGCGTCTAATATTTTTTCATTACCTAACTTACGGACTGAAAATCTAATTGATTTTTAATTTTCGTACCCTGTCATCATCCCAATTACCGCCATCCCTAATCTCCCCATTCCTCGAATCCCAAACAATCCTCACCGCACCTCTCCTGGGAGCACAATGAACTTACAATGTTGTTTCACGTGGATTTTCTATGAGGCCATGGTATCACTTCCATCGAGCTGGCCCATTCGTCCCGAAGCATGACTCTCCCTCACTTATGGACGCTCTTATGCACGAAATAAGAAGCAACTGCTACCACACTGATTATAAGTTTGACAAATTGACCAATAGATGACGCTAGCATCAAACCGTCGACGTCTAACATTAAACAAGATTAAGGAGTATGATCACCTGGCCTAGTCATATCTCACTCAGCCTACCCAATAGGGTATAGCCATATAGGCAATAGCCTAAAATACGTATTTAGGTACCTACCTGGTTCACGTTAATACCTATTAACGTGAACCACCTCATAGGTGGCGATCCAAAGTATTATTGGCTCTGTCCTATACACAGAAATTCTATGGTCCTCTATACTTATTTACTACATAGGTAGATACAAACAATTGAGAAAAGAGATATAATAGTAAGGCCTTTAAAAATATAGCATTTCTTTTTGTGAAATATGTTCTTCTAAATGTTATGTTTTGTTATGTACCACTTAGTGATTTTCTTCACGGGATTGGTGTAAATCTTTAAGAAACATCACCAGATGGTGCACGTACACCAGACTGCACGGTTGGCGCTGTTCTTGGGCAACTGAATGCCGCGCAACGTGTCGCGGCTTAGATTCTCGCACGGAACAACTCTTTGTGTGATCCACAGATTGTTGTTCCGGGTCTAGGTGTCGTGTGTATGTGAGCTTGTATGTTTGTAAACGCACCCGTGACACAGGAGAAAATCCTAGTGTGGGGCAACGTTTCTAAAAGAGTTTAAAAGAATGGTAGAAACCATAAAGGCAATCATCAATACGTGGCCGGACTGTTAGGAGAAGGAGGACTCAAAAATACCTTAACGTATTGTTTCACGTTGGTTTTCTGTGAAGTCATGGCACCACTCCTGCAGACGCATTCGCGCTGAAGCATCAATCACATACTTTACGTAAGATGCCTTGCCTAATAAATACGATATATCCCTACACACCTTTGTAGGTAGAGATGTTTTAAACATGTACTTATACCTTTAGGAGGTCGCGGAGAACGTAACGGGTAACCGGGGCTCCGGCTTGACATGCAGGAGAAGGAACGGGGTGGTTTTTAGTCAGTGATAGTCTGACACTCCCTCCCGCCTCACCCAGGCGGGAGCAGGCATTCGATAATTTTCCCTCCTTAAAAAAAACCCTTTGAGAGGGGGGGGGGGGGTCATCTAATGACTGCACCCGTCTTGGGTGAGGTAAGAGGGAGTGTGAGACTCCTACTGACTCAATATCACCCTGGTACTACCCCTGCTTTGAGCCGGAGCCCCGGTAACCCGTTAGGTCGTGCGCAGGGCCGGATCAAACATCTGTGGCTGTGATGGCTCTTTGAGGCGCGCGCGGAATGTATGGGCATGGTTTTAGTTTGGCGACTAGCTACCCTTGCTCGTCGTCAGCAGACCCGCACCTTAATGTCGCTAGTGATCGTCTTCCAGTTTTAAATATGCCTAGCATTTAAACTCAGAATGATCGTAAAACGGCTGGAAGACGCCTGCTTCTCGATGTATGAAAGTGCGGCTTTGATACTTGACAAGTATCAATGTGACTTTTCCGAACTATACTTATGTACCTACTTTCTAAGATTGTTAGACACCAGTTACATATGGTTAATGAAAACAATGTTCAGATTACCGGGACTTAGAATCATTTCTAGTTACTGTGAGGCTTAGAGTCTCATCTCAGCATAGGCTCTTCGCACATGAAGAAGGTTTGAGCATTAATCATCATCACCACAGAACATATAAAGAAGCCACCAAACTTCTTTTTTATATCTATGATGGCCACGCTTGTTAAAGCTCATTGGTAGGCAATTCAAAAGTAGGTATAAGTCCAGGTTTCCTTATGATGTTTGCCGTCACCATATGTCAGTGATGTGGGAATCGAACCCGAGGCCCCTTGCCCGGTAGTTGCACTTGCGACCACGCGGCTGACGAGGCATTATTCTAATTAGAAGAATTCAAGAGTGCCTTGAAGTGTTTAAGGCACTGTTGAGTGTTAAAAAAAAACTAAAAAGTGTTAGCTATTCGCAAAGTATAGATCCTATGGAGAAGAAAGAGCAAGAAACTGGCTACTCTTCTCTATCAGTTGGGGAGGGGTACCCCCCTCTTACCTTCGGTACCTTCTTTAATATATCACCAATCTGGCCCATAAATCTAGGGTTAAGTTTATACTTACCAGAGACAGAAGAAGAAAATAACGTTAAGGACATTACAATTAATACAGTTTAGTAGAGCTTACGCGGAGAACGAATGAGCATTTATCATAATTATCATCGCCATGCATGGTGTTGTGGGTTCGATTCTCGCACGAAGCAACTCTTTGATTGATCCACAAGTTGTTGATCCGGGTCTAAGTGTCATGTGTATGTTAACTTGTATGTTTGTTAACGCACCGACGACATAGGCCAAAATACTAGTGTGGGGCAACGTTTGAAAAAATTGATACTTTTACCGAATTATATAGAGACATTATACAGATAGTCACGGAACGGTAAAACATATCACGTATTTGGCGTACGAAGTAGCTGGTAGAAGCTAGTTTAGTTTACACACAAACGGATCAAATTAGCACTTCTTTTAATTTTAGCAATGGTTTGAGTTAATTTTTGTTCGTAAACAATTTCAACAGTAATTTGAGTGCACTTTCACCGCTTTTCAGCAGTTTTGCAACCGGCTGTAATGCAACGTGTCGCTGGTGGTATTTTATATTAGAGGGGACTGACGTTTGACCACTATCTCGCCTGGTGGTAAATAAGGTAAGTTTTCAAGTGTGGGAGGGCCATGCTTCGGCAAGAATGGGCCGGCTCGACCGGAGTGATACCACGGCCTCACAGAAAACCGACGTGAAGCAACGCTTGCGTTGTGTTTCGTCGTGTGAGTGAGGTTACCGGAAGCCCAATTACTCTCCCCTTCCCCAATCTCCCCAATTCCTGAATCTCCAACGATCCTCAAACTCCTAATCCCCTAAAGGCCGATAACGCCTTTGGTGTTCCAGGTGTCTTTGGTGTTCCAGGGCGACGCCGATTGCTTACCATCAGGTGATCCGTCTGCTCGTTTACCGGCTTTTGCCATAAAAAAAGCGATGAAGTGGCCTACAATGGAGCACGTCGACTCATAAGCAACCTATTTACTCGGGCCTTGATGAAGACACCACATGGTTTCCCGCACGTAACAACGTGTTGTGTGATTCACAAATTTTGTACGTTTGTGATCGCGCCCACGCTATAGAAAAAAACCCTAATTATGTGGGCCAAGGATTTTTATAGACAGAAGGAAGAAATAATAAAAATACTAGTTGTGTATATTCTAAATCATCATCGGTTTCCTAATAAATGGGTTTTACAGAAAAATTTCTTATGAATTTTTGTTTTGACAATTGCGAACCGAAATCGACCGACAATATCGATTTCGGTTAACTATTTCGGACAATAAAATGCATTGTGAGTATTTTTATTTACTTTTATGTTATAACGATTGTTTTTCTTAATTAATGTCAAGTTTGATTAATAGAAGTGGGGCTAAAAAAAGTTCTATTTTTGATTATTTTCAGGGTTGGTTACCTACCCTCTTAAAAATATAGGTACATGCGATATTGGCGAAATGTCTGAATTCACAAACAGCCGAAATTAATAACCGATAATGCAAAATATTTGGACTTAAATCGATTTTTGACTTTAGTTGTATGTGGCTTCTGTAGATAGAATAGGATAGTCTGGGCACTCGAGAGACTGAATTGAGGCAGGCAAAAAATGCGCATTCTATTTTTTCTTACCAGATGGCACTAGTGTGACCTCTCGTTCTTCGTCCAATAGGGAATTAATTAGTGTAATACCATTAAACGTTCAATATTATTTTGATAGCTAAGACAGGCAATAACATCTTTCCATATTCTGGTGAGCAATAAGACGGTGGGCCCCATATGTGGAAAACAGCGGTAATTCGGAAGTGTGGCACTTTAGATCGATCGCTGTAGCTTTCGGTCTAAATCATGTAATAACTGAATGTTTATTTATGTAAATGTATGACTGCCTCGTTGGCCGAGTGGTCGCAAGTGTGACTGCCGGGCAAGGGGTTCGATTTCCGGGTCGGGCAAAGTATTACTGGGTTTTCTAAAAATGTCAGTAGTAGCACTGAGTCTGGAAATGTGCCCGGTATATGGCAATAGGCTCACCCCCTAATACATGGGACTCATAACATTAAAAGTGAAAAGTGGGTGTTACATTGTACAGTGGCATTAAGTGCCATAATGTACACCTCTGCCTACCCCCTCGGGGGTAAAAGGCGTGATGTTATCTTATGTTATTTATGTAAATTCATCAATAAAGGGTCATAATATGTCTTGAGTGAGGTCAATCGAAGAAATGTTTGTTGAGTTCAACATGAATATGCGCAATAACTGCATCGCAGGATCCTCTAACGATCGAATTGAATTGAACTAATCCTAATCCAAAACCTCTGGATCGGTTTTGAGAGAAACTTCAGTATAACTGCACGATTGGAAATAATAAGAAGGGCCAAATTAAAAGTAACCTTTTTTTATTAGTTTTTTAAGGGGCAAGCCCGCTACATCCTCCCGAAACCGCTGCAAATCCTGTAAGCCAGGATCTACAGTAGATACAACCATGAAAACACCGGAACACTGAAGTCCGGCGCGTCCCAGGGACATGAATAACTGTCTTGGTTCCCGCAACGAAGTGAATCAGAAGATATTATAATAGGAGAAGAAAAAAACTATAGTTTCCACTAACCGACGAGCTTGCATTAAAAAATTGATGATTGTTGATGAAGCACAAGATGTATGTAAGAATTGTAGCAATTGGCGTTCCATAGTCTCTACCTACCCCGATGAGAAACAGGCTTGAAGATATGTAGGTATGTATATATATATTTATGTATGTGCACGGTCACCGTGGTGGCTGGGCAACTGATTGCCGTGCAACGTGTAGCGGATTCGATTCCCGCACGGCACATCTCTTTGTGTGATCCACATATTGTTGTTTCGGTTCTGGGTGTCGTGTTAACGTGAACTTAGTATGTTTGTAAACGCACCCACGATACACGAGAAAATCTAATGTGGGGCAATGATTATTTAATAAAAAATGTATCAAGCTTCCTTGTGCGTACTGCTAAAGA